TGAGCCATCAGTATAATATTATATTATACGGTTACGAGCTATGAGTTTGATCTTTAGGGAAAGATTCTAAATATTTATATTAATGAAGTCGGGATTTGTGAAAAATATCAACTGAGAAAATAAATTGTAAAATTATATTTTAAAACTTTGTATTCCTTGATATCCTAAATGATTAAATGTGACAAGAATAATTGTTAGTGTACATACATATACTTTTTATCACTTGACTATTAGAAAATAAAAAAATTGTATATCATCAAAATTGTATTGTTCTAATAATTTAAAGCCGTAAAGTTCTAAATGAAAAAAATTTGATTTTGAAGGATTTATAATTTTTTGATATATAAAAAAGTATTGCTCCTGGAGAAATAAAAAAATTATAGTAACGATTACGCATCTTGAACTGAAGTAAAATTAACTTCAAATGAGATTTTATCATTTTGAAGAAATTTTTAAAAAGCTAATTGTAAAGAGAAATTTTTTAATTACCTATCAATGAATCGATAAAAAATCATAATTCATCAAGATCTTGGCAATGCATTCATAAATTATAGACATAAATTGTCGGATTTTTTGTAGACCAAGATAAGTTACGCAGTCAAACTTTTTATTGATAGTATCTTTCAAGAGTTTATGAATTACTGTAAATTAATCATTTTGGTTTAAATTAAATTTATAAAAAAACAAGATAAAATTTTTATAAGATGTGAAATGATGAATACCATGGTAAAGTTTATCACGATGTAAATTTAATAGTATATTATTTTTCTTGACTTTGCAAGCACAAAAGAATTAATAATTTTTTGTTACTAATCCACAGTAATAATGAAATTTGACTTAAAATTTAATATCGAAACTAATCCTTCGTGAAAAACCACAACGGAATTGAAGATATTTGAAGTAGATTTAAAAACGCCAAGCTTTCCTCTATTTCCCGACTTCTTTCTAGTATTCTATTGCTATTACGCGTGAAATGCATATCAAATGTTTAAACTTCATATGTTACTTCGCTTTTATCATACATAATAAAGTTGATAATTTTATTGTATGTGGATCAACATTTTGGTGTAATCTATATCTATATTATTATTGAATTAAATTATTTTTACAATTATCAAAATAAATTAAATAATTTATAACGAGTAATTAATCGATTTAATTCGTTTATAAAAATTATCAGTTGTATCATGCTGAAACCTCATTAAAATATGCTTAAGAATCGTTTATCTATTAAGTTCTTATTGTTTATATAGATATACACTATAAAATATACATAAACATAAACTAATTCAAGAAAAGTTCATACTTGAAAAGTACGTGACAAGCGAACAAATCAATCGTTAATGAAACCTCGTAGTAAATGAAAGAAGAATATCCTACTTATTTGTCTCATTATTTCAAAAGATTCAGGTAATCAGAAAATTGAATGTAGAATAATATGGAATAATCAGTCTTATTTTTCTGCAATCAATAGCGAGGGAAATACAAAATTTAATCATTAAAAATTTATTTATACTATTTTACTAAAAACTCAAGCTCTTATATCATTTATATGACTGTAAAAATACGTCAAAATATATGTTTTGTCGGATTTAGAACTATTTAAGGATAAGTATATTCTGTTACTTATGCGACTAATTTGTTTCATATTAATAATTATTAATGTTAAAAAGTCTTTATAAATACAACTTACCCGCCGCATAACACGAAGGGAAAACGATGAAGTCTTCATATTCGTGGTTGCGGATTGTTCTTTGAGCCTTAGAGATCAAAAAATTTGTCGAAGAGGTTCAAAGCTTGAAACCCCGTTCGACGTTGATTAGTGGTCAACGGCGCCAAGCACTACTCGACACTTTAGCACCAAAACAGCGGTACTTTTTGCACGAGGAAAATATCGTAAGGGTTGCTACGTTAAAAGCCAAACCCTCGCTGTGCGAAACTACAGGTGGTCGCTGTTCTTTTCTCTCTTGAAACTCGCTCTTGCTATACTTCTCTAACGCTTTTCTGACTCCTCATTAACTCAAGAGCTTTTTTTATCTCTTCTTTTTTTTCGTAACTGGCAAATCTTTGCTGTGAACCGAAATTCTTATGATTCTCAAGTACTCCTTTTATTCACAGAAAATAATTCGTCGGAATAATATTGTATTCCTCGGCTCGAATTTGAAATAGCTCGCGGCGTGGCAGAGGATAAGAGAAATACAATTGGCTGCAAAACGGAGGAAATATTAGTATGTATGGTAATTTATAATCGCGTACACACGCTCGCTTGATCGCAACGCACAGCGACTGTTGATCGTCTGTGATGCGGAGCCGCTGGCTTTCATACATTGCGGCGGAGGTACGTATATATATAAATGTGCATCATCCATAGGAGGTGAAAGAGGGTGAGACAGAGGAACGGGTAGGGAGAGAAGGCGAGAGAGCGAGAAAAGAGAAACGTGAGCGCGCACGCTCGCCACCCCATCATCACACAAGGTCGCTTCTCTCTCCCTCCCGTGTCGGCGTATATATATCTTCAGCGGCGTGGTATACACGATCGAGTCTCTCTCTCTTTCTCTCCTCCTCTCAATTTCTTGAACGTAGTCTCGCTCTTTCGTGCCCGTATTTTCTCCAACTCATCTCCGGAGCTTTTTCGTTCTATGAGAGAATCATGACACGCACACAGCTCGACGCTGTACATAAAGGGTCACGAGCTTTTCTCGATGCGGATACGTACTAAAATACAAGCTTTCGATGTTATGGTTGATTTTGCGCACCAAACAAATTGCGAGTAAAAAATGTGAAGATGAAAGAGAATTAATAAATACGTATAGATAAAATATGTGCGCGGTTACGTTATGAAGGTTGCCAGAGAGAACCTCGAGACTAACTGTTGCGCAGCTTCTGCAAGCTCTTCAGCTTTACAATATAGGTATTTACTACAATACACGAGCTAAGCTGTGCATGCGGATGTTCGGGATGTTCGGTAGAGTGTCCTTGCGGCGTACTGACGCAATGATGAACTCCTGCACAGATGCGCTTCTACACAGCTGTGCTATAGGCTGCAAATTTATATTAATGACTTTAGCCCCGCATGATCGCTCGTAAAAATGTGTTTTCCTGTTCACCTGCTGCCACTGCCGCTCTATGTATATCAATATATATGAATTCACATCATGAACGAGGCAAATATACCCTGACTTATACGATCTGCACAGCGTATAAAGCTTTAGAGGATACACGTTGGAGATTGTCAGATCTACACAGATATATAAACGCACTAAAGCAGGTAATAAAACACGCGGATTGACGATAAGAGATTAAGTTTCAATATTTGATACGCTTCTGTCTCTATTGCGTATTTTTGATGGAATTTCACTGCTCCATGTGCGAAAGATGCGAGGCGGTGATCACCTCTGTGCCTTTTGATGCGTCCGGCCTGTATATATTAGTGCATATAAATCTAGATGAAATAGCTGTTGACAAATGGCCAATTAAAATGGAAAAAAACTATTTATTAAATATTATTTTTTCTCTATCATCAAAATTATGTAAGATTTATAGAAAAAAACATATTTTATCTTTCAAATAATATTGTATATTTTCTGTTTTCAATAATTGTTTCAGGATCCAATTATTTCTTACAATCTAAGTTCTGAGGTTATAGTCGGTAAGAATGTAATTCGATTCCAGTTATGATAGTTTATGAAATCCATTTTACTAATCTTGCAAAGAAAACGCGGAGCTGCAATGAGTTATGTTGAACGTAAATATTTGATATACGCTTCTGTGGTAAAAAATTTTGCGCAGTACGTAAAAAACTACGTATTTACAATCTCTAACAGTGTATACCATACCGCTGATTTTTTACGAAAAAAATAATGCTGTCAACAGATTGGCAAAACACTTTCTCGTAAAAAGGTGATTATTCTCATTTATATAAATGAATTCTATAAAAATATGTCGTAAAGACCTATTTTTCATGGTGTAATAAATTGAATATTCCACAAATCTTTACATTTCCGATCTTAAATTAAAATGTATCTACTTTTTTCTACAGTACTGTATAAATATTTAAAATGATGCGTTAATCCCGAAAAAAAATAATAATAAAAATTATTTCAATAAAAACGAAAATTTAAAAAGAAATTCATTATTTTTCTGATTTCTTCAGTCTTCTGAATGCACAAATCGAATTTTTATTATTGCTTACCCAAACTAACGTTTGGGTAGTTTGGTAACATTCAGTTTGGGAATAAGGAAAATCCCCAAACGGTTTTATGGTAAATGAAATATAATTATTTATTGCTTTGCTCAGTCTACTGCCTGAAAAGTCTTCAAACTTTTGAAAGTTTTTTGTTTTTAATTTCAAAGTAGCAAGAGGATTGATAAAAAGGTCTAAGTGAAATTTCTGACGTCAATAATAATCAATTTAGGCTTAATAGCCTATAGTAGTTGAAATGTCGAAATATGACAGAACGACCATCAAAATGGCAAGAACGTCCATCGAATGAAATATTCGGAAAGTAAAAATCCTTAGAATTGTTCACTGAATTTTTTCAGAATTTTCCGAGAAAATTGTTGCGCTTTGGCAAAATGTGTTGGAATTCGAAAATCCAAAAATGACTTATAAGATTTTCGGAAAATACATGGTTATCTTTTAGCCATTTCCAAGCCCTTATATATTAAGTATAAAAACTTTTTGTTAAGTGCTTCGTTTTCAAATTAAAAATTTCAACAGTTTTTAATGAACTAAATCGCGAAAATTCAACTAGAAATCGGTGATCCGAGGTCTCACTTTCTTAAGAGATGCAAAATTGAATAATTCCTCTTATTGTGCTGCAAAAGCATATCGCTACTTTAGCAAGTGCCGGTAAAGCGGCTAGCTGTAACAGTAAATTTTTTGCAGCGAACTCCGCACGTGTAGGTCACTGTATAACTAACGTACTGTACACGCGTAATGTGTATATAGTACACAAATATGTCCGTATAGGTATACAGATGTGTCATATGTTTGTGTATACTGTATTACTATGTAGTTACGATATACTGTGGAAAGAAACAAACAACTCGTGCTTCAATGTGATCAATTATTATCGATATTGTCTTGGCGCTAATGATTTGGATGTTTGTCAATTCGTCCAGTGTGACGAGGGGTGCCAGAATTAATCGAATATCAATAAGCTGCCATGTTATGAATAGAAAAACTAATTGTTTTTAAAAATAACGCTGAATACTTTCATAAAGTAATAGTGACAAATTTGAGATCATAATGGAGAGTACAATTGGAAATACAATGGAGGAAGAAAATTCAGAAAATAAAAACAGTTCTGATATTGAAGGCAGTACTGAAAAAAATATCTTTGATATCATTAATACTGAAATCAAAAAAGAGGTGAGACCTAAATATTTTTATGACTTATTACATTTTCTCTTGTAATGACAACATACATATGTGCACACCAACTGATTATTTAAGTCAAAAATGATCAAACTTCAATTAAATTATTTATGAAATATTTATTTGTATATCATGCAGAGTTCGCTATTAGATCACATGGAAATTACTATTGTCGAAGCAGAAAAAAGACAAAATGGAACGCTCAATATCAAAGAATTCTACACTGTTTATTTGATTGATACCAAGTAATTCAAATTTACTGGTTGCTTTTAAAAACGAATTTTCAACTTAAACCAATAAACTTACCTTCTATAATTTATAGAGTTACAGATCCTGACTTTGAGGCTGCTCTGACCAATGTTAGTACATTGTGGCGACGGTATACAGAATTTGAGCTGCTGAGAATGTATTTAGAAGTGTCTTATCCATACATAGTTGTACCACCACTGCCAGAAAAAAAAGTTCTCTACGCTTGGCAAAAAGTTACCACAGATACCTTTGATCCTGATTTTATTGATAGACGAAGAGCTGGCTTAGAGGTATCTTTCAGACTTTTGAATGAATAAGGTAAAAGTAGTAAAAAACAATTTTTTCCACCTTATTAACTATTGCAGAACTTTTTATTGAGAGTTGCCTCTCATCCAATCTTGTCATTCGATAAACATTTTATTGGATTCCTTCAACAAAGGGAAGGTTGGAGAGAAAGTATAAAAGAGACTACAGGCAAGTTCCGACAACAATTAAATATTCTCATTGGTTTCATGCATAATTTAAATAATATTTCATTCTCTTTGTTTTTTAGGATTATTACAATTAGCTGAATCCAAATTGAAAGCTTTAAGCGTGTCAGTAAGAATGAAAAAAACTGATAAGCGATTTGAAGCAATAAAAAACTATGGAGTTTCTCTTCAAGTAAATAAATAAACCTTTGTTTAAGTAAAATTTCTAATATTTTGGAATTTATTTTATAAAACTTGATACTTTTTTCATTCAAGAACAACTTAAGCAATTTATTACGAGTTCGTGCCAGACTAGCTGAGAAGCAATACAGTTTTTATAAATTGCATGCTAATTATGGAAGAGTTTTTAGTGAATGGAGTGCCATTGAAGGAAGTGGGATGGGAGATGGGCTACAGGTTATTTTGAAAATCATTAATATTATCATCTTATTAACTTAATCTTTTGTGTACATTTTTTCAATTGTATTTTAGAAATCTGGGCACTACTTGGATTCATTAGCAGCTGGTATTGATTCAATATTGGAAGAAGAAGAATTAATTGCAGATCAATTAAAAGAATGGCTTTTTGGTGCCTCAGCTCTACAAGCTGTAGTTAAACGTCGAGAAGCTTTACATGTTGATAGGGAAGCAGCAGCTGATAACTTATCTAATTTACAAGAACAAAAAGAAAAAGTAGTTCAAGGTTGGAAAAATTTATAATATATAACAATTGGACTAAAAAAAGCTCATTATTTATTGAATCTTATTAATTTTTATATTATTATTTATATAATCTTATAAACTGCAGGAAAAGCTAGTTTTATGTCAAGAATATTTGGTTCTGTTGATACTGAAGAAGTGCGCGAATTAAAAATACATCAATTAGATCAAAAAATAAATCATGGTACGGAAGTCTTGAAGAAAAGCGATGAAGATCTGACGTAAGTTATTCATTTATAAAATAAATGATTGGGAACTTTTACTTATATTAATCGCATTTAACAGGGAATTTTCTGAAAAAGCCCTCGAAGATATTGAGAGATTCCAAGTCCAAAAAGTTCAAGACCTGCGAGAAACATTAACACAATACTGTGTTCTACAATATAAATTAGCTAGAAAAGTAAGATTTAAGTCATTTGTTCATCATGGAATATTCATTAAATAATTTTCCATTCTTACAGGGCTTGCAAGATTGGCAAAATATAAAACAGTGTTTGGAGAGTATGCCATAAACAATTGACAAAGTATGCGAAGCATGCTCAATGCATTTGATTATTCAACCTATTTTTATCAACAGAAGATTACGATTTTCAATGTTCAGTTTTTCGAAAGTATATGTACTATATATCTATCACCACATTCCTGTTTTTTAAGAAACAACTATAAATTAACTTTGAAACATTTTTATTTTACCGAGCAACTAAAATGATTTATTTTCTCCTGTTATAAATGTTAATTAATTAATTGTTAAAAAATCCACTATTCTGATTAGAAATGAATTTTAAGCATTTTTGTATAAAATATTTAAAATTGTGTTAGATTTACGAAGTTATATTGCAAGTTGAAAGTGTTGGTCATAATTACTGTTTCATGAATATTTTGACGGCAATTTACTGTTTACTTCGAAAATCAAATATTTTAACATCACAAAAATTGTATTAATTTGTGAAAACTGACACAAAAATTCGAACATATCACAAAAATTTTACTGATTGTATATTTTGTTAAAAAAATATAAAAATAAAACCGATTTTACAGTTGTTTTTTTTTCAAGGGGTATGATAAAAATTACCTGGTGTAAAAGGGTAATTTGTGTTCTTAGTCTTAAAATTTTGGAATTGACAAAAAAATATACTGCAATCATGAAAGTTATTAGAGTAAGCGTTGACTGTAACGGATCCTTAGTATTGTTCCTATCACTCCTGTTGGCCAGACAGACGATACACGTTACTGTATTTACTATTCACGAGTGGCAAATAGATTCAACAATGTTAAGTAGAGATTAATTGATTGTTATTTGTATTTCGTTCAGCTCATCGCTGTCATATGCACACTCATGTACTCACTGGCTTGTTAATATATTTCATTGACACAGCAATCGATACGATTGACCCTCCAATGATTTCTATTATTAGTTAGCACGTTGAAATGAAGCCACCATAGGTATTTCGAAATGAATAAAAATTGTATATTTTCTAGTAATGTATAATGTATATATTAGAAACTTATTTTTTAACTATCTTTTTTAAGTTGTTAACTGATGTAATTATTATCAATTACAACCCATGTAATCACTATTTTTCAAAATAAATTTTGACTTTTATTTAAATTAAAATTAAAATTTTCGGATTATTTCAGATGCACATGTTTTGGGGAATTTGAATTCGGTATGTAATCAAATAATTTTTACAATTTCTGGGATAGCAGTTGGTAAGTAGAAAATTATAATAATTTGTCAATTCAATTTGGGAAAACAATTTTTCATTTGTTCAATTACACCTTAAACATTATGTTTTACATTCACAAAATTTATTCGTAATTACGTATATATTTACATGTAATAACATATATAAATTTTACGACATCAACTTGAATAATTGATTTCTATGTACTTCATTTAATTACGCATACTTGCATAGGATTGATTATATCACAGACTGAAAATCAGTTACAACGTATTTTATATTTAGAACAATTTTTACGCAAATTAGAACGATTGAATAACATTTTTTCTCCTTGAAAGTCCATGTAAACATGTTTTAATATATTCTGAAAAATCACATCATAGATCCTTACGTACAAACTTATTATTACATTATTATTAATATTTTATGAAATATTAATACATTTATATATTGTTCGTCTTTAAAGAAATTTTCATAATAAAGTATTACAATTATGCTCATCGCATCGATTTCTTATAAGATCATAATAATCTTTTCAAAACAAAACAAGTAAGTATACAATGGATTATATTTTATATGTAATATATAGTTATAGATATAAGATCGATTTAAAAGACTAACTCGATCGAAACAGCAACTGGTACGTACTTGTACAATATGTATTTCTATTTTTTAAAACAATAATACATTCGTTCAAAAATTTTAATATACAAAAAATGTTACACAAATTTACTTGTACAATTAACTTCAAATAGTTGCATATTGACTATATTTATCAAGGCAAATCAAGGTGAGAAGAACCCTTTATCTGCAACATTTTTCGATACTTTAAATATACAATTTTTCTTTTTTAAAGGTGTTGAAGTCTTATTGTCACGATATTTGATATTTATTGAATACCCCTTTTTGTGAAAAAAATATTACTTTATGCGCGACCCTTCCGATAATTTCAAGTTGAACGTCGCTCTGAATTTTTGCATCACGTACTCGATAATCCACGATGATAGCTGGTTTGATAGTATACACAACCATTGTTTTGCAATTATGCCAGAACCCAATGAAATTGGGAAAGAGTTAGAAAGGAATATGAACGAGTTTCACTATTCGTCGGGTCCTTCTAGAGATGCGTGTAATATTTGATTACCAATCAAATACGTTCGTAATTTATTGATTTTTTCGATTACACTTGATCACGCGTTATCCGTGTACCCATTTATTTGCACTCGGCCAACATCGAGTTAATGACACTCGAGATAGTCGACCTTTAGAGTCATCATGGTGAAACAGACGCGACACAAGTAAAACAGTTTAGTCTTTTCACGTAAAGTTTGTCTCGTGAAAAATTAAGGAGCAAGACGCCGTCGATGCGTGCTGCACCCCCTGCGACTCGTATCATACGGGTTTGCAGGTGCTGTCCTTGTTGTTCGACGACTTGAAGGTGTGCAAAGGCACGAAGTACTCGGCGCTGTCCTGATGCTGCTTAACGATCACGGATCGTTGATTCGGATCGAGGATGACGCTGTTTTCCTGTGAGGACAGAGTCGCCGTCGCGCCGTTCGACGCCAGTCCCAGAGTCCGGCTATTTCGGAGACTCTTGATGCCGGGCAGCCAGTCAAGGAGCCGCCACCACTTTTTCGAGCCGTGGCCGTTGTTTTTACCGTTGATCGCGTTGTTGATGGACCGATGTAACCTCGTAGGTGAGAAGCCTTGCTGTTGCTGCTGCTGTTGCGGTTGAGACAAGAAAAAAATCTGATTAACTCATAACATCCAAGATTAATGAGAATTTTTCAGCTGCGAGCATGTGCGAACGAGCTCGCGCGCACGCGTGTGCACATCTTTTCGAGGTTTTCAGATATACTTTTTGCTCGCGTTTCCTTCGCGCTCGTCTTTCCTTGCGAGATGTCTTGAACCGCGCCGAGATTCTAATTATACGTTCGATCGATCGGCGAGATAAGCTCGTGCAACGCGCGTGTTTGTATAGGTAGTGGCAATGATGGTGTGAACGCGGTGAGTGATGAGTGATATTACGCTATATGCTTTTTATCCTGAACGTATTTTCCAATTAGTCATGTAGATCATACAATATAGCCTGGTGTGCATTTTAGAATTTTTTATCGATACACATACTTTGTATGTATCGAAAACTTGAAGATTTTTCAGCGAACTTGAAACTGCGAGAAACTATGTAAACATTTTGGAAGTTTCGTTGTTGTTCTTTTTTTTATTATGTGTATATAAATCCCAAGCGTGTTTTATACGGGCTTTGAAGAACGAGTATACGACGAAACCAGAAACCGGTTCACGCGATTGAAAGCTTTTTTTCAGCTCGATGCATTCTATCTGACGAGGTTTCCAAAAATTTTAAAACATAAAAAAAAAGAGGAAGAAAATAATCACGCGGCAGAGTCGCGCAGAGCGATATTCTTCGCAGTTACAAAGCGGCCAACACGGTGCGTACGGTTACGAAAACTAAAGTGCCGTCGAGTCTTTTTAGTGCTACTTTTATGATAGTTTGACACCTTTATTCAACGCGGACCATAATTTATACATATAAAAAAACTTTTTTTACACTTCGTCTAGCGCGCCTTTCAGACCAAGCCCAAGGTTTGATAAAAATATTCTATTTAGAATGTTTATTCTGGACAATAACTTACAAAGCCATAAGGAACGAGTATATATAACGAGGACTAGAAGGAATTAATTTTTAATCGCGTATTATCATGGAGCGAGTACATGACTCGACTGCAAATATTCGTGGTCCGAAAACACAATGATGCGACAGGAAGAGAGAGCATGAATCATTTCTATAACTCGCAAAATTGTTCATAGAATTTGAAATATGCGCTTACGGCGGCTGCGATAACCTTGTCATCGGCATTCGGCATGGAGAGCATCAAATCCGCCGATGTGGAAGTGTCAAAACGAGCAAAATCGAGCTGCTGCCGTCGCTGCTGTTGCTGTTGCTGATTCTGCTCGACTCCACCAATCGGCCCGAATGAGGTCATTGGAAGGTTAGTCGCTTCGTTGCTGGTCGATTTCGAGTCGTAGGAACTATTGACTGGAAACTTGTTGTTGTTGGCTGCTGCTTCGGTGGAGACCGGAGGTGCGCCCACTTGAATCGTCAACGGTTGCGTCGCGGGCGTGTCACACGTGGCGGCGAAGTAATCGCTGCCAACGTCCTGGCCGCCGTCTCGCGAAGAGTTGCCAGAACAGTCCGTGCTCTCCTTCACGAGGCACGTGCCGTATAAATTAAAAAAGTAAATTTGATTTAGTTTCGTATTTTTCACATCATTGGAATTTTTCCAAATTAATTAATAAAGTCGACCATCGCAATTTAAACCCTCTTAGAAGTTAAGAACTTGATAAAATAAGCTTACAAAGCTGGTTGCAAAAATAGAATGATGAAAGTGCAGCGCATACATTATGTATCAGTAATGAAACGCACGCGTGTTCAGGGAGGATGCTAAGAGTTGAGGTCGTGTATATAGATAACGCAAGAATCTTTATCGATCACATAGTGCACCTATCGGGCTTTTTCATCTAATATGCAAATAACATGAGTTTCGCTACTTTTCATCGCTCGTCTTTTTTTATACAGACCGCCGGCCCCTCTCATTAGACAAAGTAACAATTCGCATTATCATTTTTGCAAGAATAGTACAGTGCATCTCTTTTTACGGCGCGTAAATTCGATGCATGTAGTATCCACATAGACGCGCCACGCGCTACATGAAATTTGCATTCTAATTGAGCGAAAAAGAAGAAGCATCTGTAAATCATTCGGAGCTAGATTGCAATTAGATTCTTCGTAAAAACTGTTATTAATCACTTTCCAGTTCAAAAGTGAATAATTTTTGCGCTCGTATGCTTGCTTTGGTCTTTTTTTGTGCGCCACGCTTGCGCACAGCTACCTAGCGTGATGTAGCGCATTAATGCACTCAAAAATGTTTTTCATTGTGTGTGCTGTGCTGTGTTGCTATGACATTATGACATAATTTTTGCGCATTGATTAATACCGCGCGCGCTCGCGTACAACAATGCTTTTGACATTTTTCATAAATAACCTTAGCACAATTCATTATAAAATAAGGAAAATAATCTGTTGAATTTTATTAATGTTGTAGCTTGATGTGTACATTTTTCAAGTGTTTTATTGTCAAATAAAAAAATTGGCCTTTTTCCAATAATAATTTTTTTACAATTTGAAAAAAAAATTTTTCTCGCATTTATTTTAATTTTGACAATTAAATTGAAGACCGAACAAAAAGTATACACTCCGCGCTTGTTACTTTAAAAATTATTCAAATCATAAATTATTTGACGTTACGCAAGTGTATCAGGTGCATAATCTCGTCAGTAATACATTACATAATTTGAATTTTTCTTTCAATGGACTGAATAAAGACACTCGTACCAAAGTTGAAGAACTTCGAACTAATTTAACGAGTACAAAAAATACAATGAAATTGACTCCATTATAAAATGTCGATTTAAACAAATTATTCGAGTTTTTAATGGTTGCTTTTGAATGGATTTGTAGCTAAATAGGATTTAATTGAAAACTAGAACTACACGAGCAGTAATTGGAATAAGGAAACTCGTATCGTGATTATAACAATATAAACTATTTCAACGTATAAAACATTTACTGCGTAATTAATTCAGACCGACACTCATCGTACAAAATATAAACTCCTGGTCAACGTCCCAAAGTAAGATATTCTCTTGTATAAAAAAAAATTATAAGAATATTGTCAAAAAGATTTCAATCTAGATACATACGGATGTCCTCGCATGTCCCAAGCCGGTAACGCCACTCTCGTGTGTAGTTTTTGATGGACCAGAAGTCGGAATGCGCTGTTGCGAGCGTGACAATGACGAATAAGAGCGTCGCTCACGAGGCTTGATGAAACCCGTCATTCTGCAACTTTTGGCCAAAGTTTCCTAGAAAATCATATATTATAAATTAGTTTGTTGTGTTTGTGGTAAGCTAACGGCGAAAACGGCTCTGCTACACTTTGTTTCATGTATTATTCATCGGTTTTGTGCACGTAGTATCGTTGACGTACTATGATATTTCATTGCTCGTAATAAAGCCATTGCGATTCTCATGTATGTGTAATTAGCATGTAAATTTTTCGATATGACTTCTACGCAATAGGTAAATTATTGTTTTCATTTCGGATACGAAGCTTTTACATTGCTTCCAACATATTTTATTGTGCGAGCTTGTTCGCATAAAATGACTCGATTAACTATTCGCTTTATTCCGAAATATCGATGTGCGCCCGTTAAAGGAGTATTTTTATCGAAAACAGCTGCAATTGAAAAGCGCGTCAGCAATTCTCAAACGGCTTCTCCTTTCATTTTAATTCTGCGAAAGAATAAAGGGCTCACCATGAAGGCTTCTCTGAACTTGTGCGACATAATGTTGTATAAAATAGGATTGATTGTCGTCGAGATGTAGTAAAAAACACCGGAAACGTATGTGAAAATTGCATAAAGCATCTGAATCTTAATGCTGCTCTCTTTCGAGTAGTCCTCGAAGTGTTCTTTCTTCCCATAAGTGGCTATCAGTCTCTGCATGTGAAAAGGAGCCCAGCAAATAAAAAAAGCCACAACGACTGCAACTGAAAACAGGATTGAAAAATGGAATATAATACATTTAGTATTTGCTTTGTAGTTTGCTATTTGTATTGTAAATTGAATGTACATATAGTAATATATTCAACAGCATATGTATCCATATAATTGAATTATTACAATTGATTCGCACGTGTAAACCAAGCATTACGCCAAAATTGGAGGCTCTTCCTAGATCATGAGTCTGTAAACTACAGTACCCAAAGGACACATTATTGATCAGAGTCGAACATTATAACAAGCTGTCCGTACGACGCTAATGGTATAAAATTCCCCGCAAAATCTGTCATATATTCTAAGAATTTCTTCATTGATCATATATTGTTACGTGAGTTGAAAAGCTTAACGTGAAATTGATTTCGGCAAAAAAGATTGTTATTAAGGCTAATAGTATCGTACCGTTTCCATCGTGATTAAAAATTTTACATTATGAAAATATTAGTAACACAAAATGAACAAGTGAATCGTTCTTATGCAAACGAATGATAAATCGTTAATTGTTCATATGTTCAATGCTGATGAGCTTTTGTCTCTTGACGGAAAAATTGGATTGTTAATTGAGAAAATAACAATAACAAAGATAAGTCTTAAGTCGATATTGAAAAGCGAATTTATAATTATATACAAACAAATTCAATCGTTGTAGAAAAATTGAAGTATCGGAAAGCTATTCAAATTTCTGTACTAAATTATATTTTTTGCAAATCAAACTTTCTTATTATTAATTCAACTTGACACTGAATGAATTATTCGGTCAAATAAAAATTTATTTTGTTTTTTTTACTTCATATTTTCAGCATCATTAAAATAGATTTGCAAAGTACAATACACCTTTACTGCCAACTATGTCGAATAAGAAAACTTGCTGCAATTCTAAAGGTGCATAAAGTTTTTTACTTGGTAATTTTTTGCCGCTAGGAAAATTAATTTTTTTATACTCTGACTACAATATGAAATTGTTCATTTATTTTTATTAAATAATTTGTATAGATATATCTTTGGTTTATCAATCAATTTTCAATGTAATTAAAGCGATTCAGGATATTTGGTTAATTTTAATTGGAGCCAATTAAAGTAACAATATACTCCACGTTATTTCAATTATATAAATATCAGTGTGTTTATGGGAAAATGTTTTATCGAAAATTAATATTTTTCAAGGAAATGAGTTCATATATTTTCTCATTATAAATTGAATATTTTTAATTTTTATATATATCCTATTTCATATATCTACCTAAAAATATTATTTAGATTCACATTTCAAGGGGAAATATGCCAATATTTAAAGATTTAATTAAAACGATGCAAAGCAATGTTCGGAATTAAATGTTAAAAACTTATCCGAAACTCGCGATAAATATTTTTTTGAACGGCTCTACAATGCCTAAGAATACCAAGACAAAGGTTATGATTGAGTTATTTAGAAATATATTCAGTCGAAATTTCAGTAAACACGGGTTTGAAATTGTTCATTTATACATTGGCTTTGGCATCCAGTTAAAAAAGTGCCGACTGCCCGCCAGTCATATCCGTTGAGAAATTGAAAAGCGAACAGTGTTATTAGTTTTCGCGCTGGAACTGTATATTTCTTAGTTCTTTCACGTAAGCGAAAATTGATGAAAACAGAAGTGAACTCAGACGAGGATTACACGCAAATTATTTTACAACTTTTTAAGAAAATAAAACACACATATTTCAGTCCACGAATCCAGCGACACTATACAAATTTACATTTCGTGGAGAGCAGAAAAAGAATAAACTTATACGACAATCTTAAACGACCGAAAAAGTTCGAGTAAATTGATAGCTCCTAGACGCCGCAGGGAGTCAACGCGCACGTGTTTTAATTAAAATGAAACATTCCGAATCAATCGAATCGAGAGCTTTTTTCGTTTCTATTAGCATTAAACAATATCAATCATCGCAATTCTGTAACATTCTTCCAGCGTTGTGTGGTAAATTACGCCGCGCCGTAATTCATTGACTTATTCGCAAGCAACGTGCCTGTACAAACGTGCATCATCATCATCGTTATTGGTTCAATACATGCGCGCGCGCGAAGATATAGGGCTGTCATTGATAGACGCTCGAATATGAGAGTTGATGCTCGCTCGCTTGCTTGCTTATATACGCGCGCGTGCGTTTTGTTGCTGCTGTTTCACGGTGCGTAAACGAGCGCGACCTCGAGTTATGAACATTAGAAAATATTGGATCGGTCGCGACAACGCATGGCAGGCCAATAAATGTAAATCGAGAGACGTGAAAATTCTTTTGTAGGTCAACTTCTTTTTTTTTCCTCGCGATGCGCGCTCGCGCTGTTTTTTTATAATAACGAAACTATATAATGACAGGATACACATGCCACGCGATGCAAATGAGCTTTGTAAAAGATATTGCAGCTCGATTCGAGCGTCGTAGCGCGCGAGGCGTCAATGACTTGTATTGAGTGCTATCAACATGCATTTCGTCTGTAGCAGCAATGCAATTGGCTCGAGCATGATGAGCGACGAGGAAATGAAAATTGAAATAATCGTTAAAATAGAAGGCTCGATAACTTAAAGATTGTCACCCGAGCACATAAAATTTGATTCGAAGTATTGGCATTTATTTTCGATCATCAATAAATGTATTTTTAAAGCGCTTATTTATTATTTCTAAGCTTATTTTTGCGTATCGTCTGATTTTTTCTTGTTTTGATTCATCGAGGGGATTAATAAACACAATCTGTGTTCTACAACTTGAAATTTAAAAACAAAATTTTTCCTCTTTCTATTCTTACAGCAATATTTTTTATCCGTTTTTTTATGCGCGTTACAATTTATAGAATAATTTAATGGTATAATTCAGTGCCTCAAAGCAAAATTACTTTAGGCAGCTTCTTTTGTGAAACGGGAAATTGACTATTTAATACGTTCAATGTTTATGCACTCGCATGCATCTAGACATAGATGCCCAGACGTGTATTTGGCAGCCACTTCGATTGTTCCCTACGTGAAACGTTAAAATCTCGCTTTTCACCTTTCACATTTTATTTAAGTTTATAAAACAAACACGATATATTTTTGAAGCTCAGTTAATAACTAGCTTTCTTTTTTATTGAAGATTAAACCAACACGTGGATTATGTATACTAAATTTTTTGTTGTTATAAAATGTATTATTCATGATTTAATTCGGTTTCATAACTTATTTCTTGTTTTCTTTGTAATCATGCCATTGTAACCACCCCAATAAGAAAATTACAAGTTTATGTAATTTTGAGTTTATTATTTTACAGTATCTTCTGTCCAGTCTACTATCATACGTTGAAGTAAAGTTTATTTTCTTGCTATTTTTTTGCGCAGCTAAAGTTCTAAATTTTCCTTTGAGCGACCATGAATTTACTTCAAATTTTGACAAGTTTCCACGCTATTAAAATATCTAATTGCAAAAAAAGATGTTAAATCAAAATTGTTTTTTCAAGTTATCCAATATTTAATAAATGATGTTTTTGTTGACGAAAAGCGTATAACGAATATCGATAACACTTAGTTTAGAGGATTCGGAAATGCAACTTCCAGCAACTCAAGTTTCTAACGACAGTTTAATACGTATCTCGACAAATCTCCCGAGTTCCCGTACGTTTCGATTTTTCTTTCGTATGAGGGCGAATCAAGACACAGCTCGAAAGTTTCGTTCTCGACACACACTTACCGAGCATCTTCAATACTCGTCTCGTTGATCTGCTGTGACGGCAGTTTCTATCCACTCTGGAGCGACTTGTCTTTTTGCCCGTAACGTCGCTTCTCTTGTGATGATGCTGCTGTTGATGTCTGTTGACCTTTGTCAATATCGTGGATTTCTTCAATTTCAATCCGATCAAAACGTAAAGCACCATAATAAGCGTCATCGGCACTATGAAAAACAACAGGGTCGACAGTTCGAAGGAGTGTTTGAAAATTTCGCCTTTGAACTGACAGAGAACGTCCTCGGGTCTGGGCGAGTACTGAACTAGGCCGAAAGGCAAAGCCAACGGCACGGCGAATGCCAGAGCGATCAGCCAAATGACCAGTATGAGCTTGATGGCTCTGGACAATTTGGACATGGTGTGCGAGAGAAAGGGGTGACATATCGCGACGTAGCGCTCGGCGGTGAAGGCCGTGATGGTGAGGACCGAGGCATTGGTCGACGTCTCGGCGGCCACACCCCTGAGCACGCAGAACGCCTCGCCGAAGACGTAGGGATACTTGAACCAGACGACGTAGATCTCGACTGGCAGTCCGCAGAACAACAGCAACAGGTCCGATATGGCCAGGCTGAATAGATAATAATTCGTGGCGGTGTGCATGGACTTGTTGCGCGCGATGACAATGCAAGTGCTGATATTGCCAATAGTACCCGTTATGAATATCGACGCGTATATTATGCTTATTGGTATAACGATGAACAGGGGATCGCGCACTGCTATTAAGTGATCTTTCAATTCGTCCTCGTGCCTCGTCGCCGACAGAGTCGTCGTCGCATTCGGCAATAATTTCGAGCTCGTCACGTTGTAAATGTCGTAGAGGTTTTCCATGGTGACTGAAATTTTCTTCCAACCGTCTTCGTCGTTTTCGTCGACTTTGTACTTTGTCGTGCTTGCGGATTATTTCAGTAATTCCGCGGAAACTGTGAGCACAGCTGCTGACCGATCAACGACGATAATGAAGAGGACAGCGGTGGTGCTGCGTCCATGACGAAGATCGAATCGGCGGCTCGAACTCCTCGAAGGCAGCGGTGGCGGCTGCTACGACGATGATCATCGATTCTCGCTGACGTTCAACGCTGACGATGCCTCCTCGTCTTCGCATCGTTTAACAACGAAGGATGATAATTATTCATCAAAGTTTGCCACGCACACGCGGAACTTTTTCATTCGCGCATGATCGAGCTTTTGAGAGAGCCCCGCGCGTGTTTTTATCGAGCTTTCTACTCGTGTGAACGCGCGGTATAATGCCGCGCACTTGCTGCGCTGCTGCTGCTACTGTTGCAAAACAAAAGGAACTCTAGCGTATACGCACTCACCGCTCAGAGAGAGGGGCACACATCCACACACAATTGCACTGGCCACACGATACACTATATAGTCGAGCAATTGTACAAGAGCTCGGCCGAATTTAAATTGGGCTTTGGCGCGGCGCGCTCGCGAGCGTTCGATAATCAATCGGCGTTGCGAGCGTGAATTAATCGCGTCGCGCGCGCATATATGTATATCATCGAAGTCTCGCGATGCTCTCACGGCCCGGTGCGGACATCAACTGCTTCTGCTGCTGGCTGCGGCGCTTTATCGCTCTCTTGTCGTCGTCGTCGTCGTCGTCGTCGCCAAACTCAAACACTGTGCGCGCGCGCCAGCCAGCCAGCCAACGCGTTGTAATATAGTTATATACCTGCCTGCACACGGTCAGCCGCGTGTGTGCAGATGCACATCGTCGCGTACATCTAGAATATACGTACAGGCACTCGAGCTATATGTATATTTATACTCGGTGTAGTCTCGTGCCGCCTTGTTTTTTATTTTCGTTTCTTTCTGTTTTCGGCTCTTGTACACGTGCTACGTGCAGCGAGGTCGCCGAGCAACTGATAGCGCGGAGACTCCTCTTCTGACCGTATAAATACGCAAAACAAACGAAATCTCGAAACCCTCTGCGCAGTTTTCCGACAGATCCATCCCTCTCGCATGCGGGATACAGCAGAGAGAGAGAGAGAGAGAGAGAGAGAGAGAGAGAGTCAAGATAGCTACTCGCGTGGATTTTAAGCTCAAAAGCTCGCTTCTTTTTTCCCGAGCCGAAGGTAGCTTTTTTCGCCGTTTTCCCCGATAATACTACAGTCGTGTATATTCGTTGAGTTATACCGTTTTTATGAGTGGAAGAAAAATCGATTAGCAGTATGGTACGCGCGTGTCGCGAGAGCTAGTAGTAGTATGCTGTGATAGCGTGATTGACTTGGCTCGCCGATCCCTTGTCAGGCTGAGGACATCTATTGGATGGACGCCCGCTCGTCATTTTGCGCGTCCACGTGTTTGCAAGTTCGATTGAATTCCGCGCGATATATAGGTATAAAATTGCGCACGAATCACGTTCATTGATGCTTTGCTTGACTTTACTTCCGATAATTCCTCGGTAGACTTTGAAACCAACTTTTTATTACGCGTTTGGATTATGATTCCGTGTCAGAAATACTCGTTTCGGAAAAAAATGATACTTCGGGAAAGCTCGCTACTGGTCGTTTTTTTAATTTTCTACCTTTCGTTTGTGATTCTCAATTAAGATCCGACTCTTTTTCTCTTTGAAAAAATAACGATGCGTCATGCGCATATATCGGCGTAAAGCCGTGTAGTGATCGAGGGGCTTGATGAAGAATCTGTTGGAGATTCGTATGAATGGTTATTGGGAAGCCTTTGTGAGGATTCTCGCTTTATCAAAAGCGTACAAAATTTTAAGCCTTTTATTTAATGTTAAAAAACTGGTTTTATCGCAACTGCTTGTTATAAAAAAAAAACAACTTCAATTTTTACAAACGTGATCACGTGTATAACTGGTAATCCAAGCGAAATGATCGTCAACTTGAAAAATTGCGATAACGATTTTTGTTTGCGAGCTATGACGAGCAGTGAAAATAATTCGTTCAAATATTTTAATTAAAAGTATAAAATCTTGAATGTTTTGAGAAAGAGACTGACAAAGTGCACAAAAAAATTCCAACCCAAGTAAAAAAAACAATTTTCAATAATTTTTTACATAAATAATTTCATATGATTGAAGAAATATGTATTTTTTAGAATTGAAATAAAATATGTCACAGATTGAATAAAAAATACAAGAAGTACGCTTTCTTCTGAAGACATTGATATTCCTGTTCGTAGTGTTGACTGATACTACACTATATTCAAAATCAAATGGAGAGTCAAGCTGTATCAAAAATGCTCAATAAAGATGACGGAATCGAAGATCTTTCATAGACTTTTAGCACGAGTGCATTGAACGAAAAAAATTGTGAATACTTTTTGCGGTCATTATCATGTCCCGTCTAAAATGTGTGAATTCGAGCACGTCGATATTACACTTATTCTTCGAATTTTTTTATTCTCTCGATGTAGGAAATGTAAGGTACTTTTCCGTGAGAACAAAGAGAGATGAAATTTGTCAGATAAAATTCTTTTAAGCTAGGTACTGGATATTCAAAGTATAAAATGCAGATTTTGTACCGTTAGAATTCCTTCGAGTTTTTTAAATATACTTTAAATCGACCATTCTCAAACAGGTTTCGAGGCTTCTATATTCCGTATGCCTTAATTCTTTTAATGCTTAAAGTCACCACTGCGAAAAAAAATTTTTTTCCACTATATAAACGAATTACGCGATAAAAGAAGTAAATGGAACTTTTACTTTGCGTTTTCCGTGGCTAGGTTAAATCTCAATTATACGAACTTGATTGTCTTGCATAATGAAACAATTGTTGAGGTCGTTCACACCATGCGGTATAATTACATTCGATTAGCCGAACGGTTTCTTAACCTCAGGGTCACTGTCAATTTTCCAGTTCTTTCATAAAACACACCCTTATAAAACACCCCAAATAAATACATTTGGAATAAAATTTTTATTATTTATTAATGTTTTGGTATATATTATAGTTCATATACAAACAGTTCGTCAAAATATTTCGTATCACACTTATATTACTATGTAGTAAAGTTTACATATTTTTTCGTACAACCCAAATAGTATAAACATAACTTTACACTTCATAAATTCTTAATCTCAGTAAATCATTTTTACGGCAGTTGAGTTTACTTTAAAGAATATTAAACAGATACAAATGCATTTCACTCTTATTCATAGTTCATAGTTATACTTTAATATCTCAATTACTGAGTTTCATTTATTTAATGCAAATAAAAAGTGATTATTTTCATCGAATGCTTTTTACAAGCGTCTTCACATGGAACTATTTGAACTTACAATAATTGAATAATCGTTTTGGCAAGAAAATATGGAACAAAAACTTTCCAATGGCAAATATTTTAGCTTCATCGATTGCCATTTTTGAAACGTCGCTTTGTTCTAATAGTATACGTCAGGTTTAACCTACAAGCATAGTGACGAATGTATTTAATTGTTAAACGTTGAAACTATCAATGCTATGCAAATAAATTGAATTCAACTTACTTGAAAATGATTGGAGACCCCTTCGTAAGGATATACACCACCGAGTATGTAACGGTAGTAACCATTGTGTCTGATTCTGTACTCTCCAGGTACAACTGTTTCTGGAACTTCCCATTTCACGGTAACTTGACTGGACCCCAAAAGCGACGAGGTTCTCTCCCATATGAATCTATGTAAGTTTATCGCAATTTACAACTCGAAATTGAAAATGTTTCAACATTAAAAGCAATTATCAACTTACTTCGTTTCCCAATCCGCATCGGTTGCTACAACAGTCCATGTTTCATCTGCTTCTAATTTTTCAACGGCCAAGTAACTACTTCCGGTCATGAAATTATTTCTTGGATGACCTGAAATCTTTAAATAAGATGCTCGGTTAATTAATACGACCATACGATCAGAATTTATCAAGAGATAAAAAATTATCTTTTGGTCAAAAATGTTGTAACGGAGATTCACGTCCGAAACTTTTTATATCTCAACTTTATCTTGAGTTTATTCAAGTACAGCAATTTATCCTAGTACTGTACTTTACGAACGTCTCTATATACGTATGCGACGACGCCGATAATAATAATTGGCACGCACGAATGTAAAAATTACGAGCGAGCATATATCAAAAAAGGATCCTCTCTCTCTCTCTCTCTCCAGGCGTTAAAATGAAATTCCAAACCGTATAATTCATAAATCGCTCGACCGGCAGTCCCCACAAGGACTCATATTGTGCGTATTAAAAGCACCGTCGCGGCTCGCTCCTCGAATTTGACATTCGGAAACATGCATGACAGACGGAAAATCGAACGTGTGCACACGTGTACACGCATACACAATATACGAGTGCATTATTTCCCACGCCCACCACCGACGAGCGCGCGTGCAGTAATTGTCCTTGCGTTAACGAGTATGTCAAACGCATTTTGCCCAAAAAAAAAAAAAAAATCTAGTACAATCCATACAAAGTGGCCATTTAAACTGCATAGAATACGACCCAATCGAGTAGCACTTGGTCAAGATTTGGAACAAAAAAAGTGGAAAATAATGCCAATATACATACATGCATGCATGACTCGGGCAATTTCGTTTGGACCTTGCTTCTCGCATGTACGCGTATACTCACATCTCCATGCATACATATAGCTTGTTGCGCAAGCTCAGCTAGAGAGCAGTGTATATACGTTTAAACATAGACAGGAAAAGGGAGAGAGAGAGAGAGAGAGAGAGAGAGAGAGAGAGAGAGAAAGAGAGAGAGAGTACTTTGCCCAAAACGAGGGCGTTTTTACGTAAAATCCTTATACAATCGGTCTTATTACGACGAGATGCTCAACTTACTCTTTAGAGCATTTGCTGTACACATATTTTGAGATGCACTCGTTTCTCCAGCGTTCGGCAGTGCTAGAAAATAATATGTATATAATATCTAGGCTGCGCATCTTTTTGCTCGATCCCGACGCACTGACGCTTTTTGCACGCGCAGGGGGATATCTGCCGTGTGAATATTTATGAATGTTCCGTATAGCTAGCTCGGTTTAATTCGACGAAAAAGAATGAAAAAACCGCACGTACGAGGGAAATGCAATACGAAAGTCTCTTACGCGAAAGCTGCCAGCTTTGTATCGAAGTCTAATCGAGTGAACCGCGTGTGCGGCATTACATACGTATGTAGGAAGATGTGAACTTTTACATAGCTATGTGCGTGCGTGCGCACGTGGACGCTCTCGGAAGGAATGCCTGAATAGTTTTGCGATACTCGTCGAAAAATAGGAATTAGAGATGGATCTGTGAAAAAGTGAACGTTCGGATGCGGCGGGATGACAAAAAAAAAGAACGAGTGACTTCCGTTTTCATTGTTTCCCACATACGCGAGAGAGGAGTATCATCGGTTGTCGACGAGTTAATTTTTTTTTTGGTACAATAATATAGCCACGCGGACTTGTTGCAGATTGTAACCGAGCTCGTATACATCTTATTGTAAACTGAATTTTCCATCGACGGCGTATATAACATCGGTTCTTTTTTTTGTGCGAAAGCTCGTTACCGGGTGAAATGTACAAACATAAATACGTTGCAAGTTGTTTAACGGTAATATTTAATTAAAAAACGAAAACTTACGAATTTTACGTCAACGACGTCACCAGGACGAGCCACAAGTTGCGCTTTTTGAATGCATTCGCCGAACTCTCTGCCCCATTTGGGCGCGTCGTAGATCACAGGAGGCATCAAACTTATTAATCTGTTTTTCGATAAATCCACGGGAGTTGGTCCGGCATCGACAGGTTTTCCCTTTTTAGCAAAAATGTCCCAGTTACTTTTTCATATATTTCATGTATACGTACCCAAAAGTTTTGCGAAATTCTCTGTGCATTTCACACGCGTAGCAAAGAATGGCGTTATAGTACTTACGAGAACTGCATGTTTGGCAAGATCGCGATACTGCTCAAGGTAAATAGTCAAAGTATGGGGTCCGAAAATTGTTGAAGCTCCTTCGTATCGTTGGATCTGTAATAAAAAAAAGCTCGTACTTTTTTGAGTTTAACTAATTTTTATAAACCCGCGCGCTAGTTTTTTTTTAATTTCCTTATTGCATTTTTTACATAAATAAAACATTGTAAATGAGTGAAATTGATTCGAACATAAATTATCTGCATTTTCACGAGCAATTTTTAAACTTCATTCAAGATAATTTTCAAAAATTAAAAAATTAGCAGTTTTATGTTTCAAGATTTCTTGGACCACGCTCTAGCAAATTCAAGATTATAAGTACTTGATATTCCTCCGGCGTTGTAATGTAATCGCTGTAGGTATTACAAAGACCGGCTACTATGACGTTAACGTTTTTGATGCTCGGATCCGTTTCATTCACGGTGAATTTCACCATCTCCCGAAGTCGTCTGCCGGACATAGTCGTAAATTCGCCTGGTACACCGGCGAGCACGACATTGCCAATGAGGACGAGCTGCGTCGAAACGATCTGGGGTTGCCACTGGTACGGTAACGTCATCTGTAAATAAACGATCGTCATTTTTGTTCTTGATCTAATGAATATATAGCTCGTAAAATGAAGATTGTTAAATTCTATTCTAAAGTTGGTCTACAGCATAAATTTATTACATCAAAGGGAACTTTTACAACAAATCTAGGCTTGACAATTAAAAAGAACAAATTGAATTTTGACGATCGTGGTGCGCTTCGACGTTGTGGAAATGACTTTCGCTCGATCTACGACTTAGGCTCGATCGGCGTTGGACAAGTAAAAGCATCTAAGTCCACGAAATATTTTAATTAATCGTTTTGGAGATACCGCAGCTTGAGTAACGTTTATGCACCTTTCGATTGCAGTCGAGCAGTTGGCGATGATTACTAAAGATCGCTCAAGCGCGCGCATGTAAATCGAGTCCAGACGTGCGCGCACCAAAGTATTCCTCGGAGGAGAATTAAAAAGCATGTAAGCCTGCGTAACTTTGGCGGAGAAAAAGGCATGGTTCAATTTGTTTAAACGACTAATGAGCCCATTATCCTTTTCGTGAAAAACAAGAGCAAGGACATATGTACGAACTCCGCGCGCCGACTGCTGAGTACAAGAGAGAGAAAGACAGACAGTTAGAGAGAAAGAGACGAATATTTGTTACGCAAAGTGAAATTGTATTATAACTTCCTTCTCTCTTTTCGCATCGCGATAAAGGCTTTCACGAACTTAAACGCGTATTGCAGTTCATTATGAGATGTACACATTATGAGCTTACACACACATACACACACTTTCATGGTCGTTTATTATCTCGTCTCGCTTGTATTTTGCGCGCTACAAAAGTGTGTACAGCTAAAAATAATTAGAAACTCGCTCGTTGCCGCATTACACTTTGGCGTGGTGTATGAATATCGAACGACACGCGAATAATTACTCGACGATGCTGCTGTGTGAGTAATATTCCATAATGTTCCATTCATGAGGCTTGAGTAGAAATTCGCAAGTTTAGCGCGAAGATAACAAACATTTACTGCACCGAACTCGGCATCTTAATCCTCTATTAGTGCAAACTTAAGTCTTACACAGTTTAAATCTTGGTAATTTTATCTACAGGATTGCCATCAACATTGATGATAACAAGCTCATAGCTAGCTCAGATGTAATAAATTATCAACTAACGTATAATGTCATTAATAATAAATTAGTATGAATCATTTCAAAGTTTGTGTACGTTCGCGTTCGAGTGCCAAGGTGTAAAAATTATTCATGCTCTCTAGGTAAATTTAGGCTCTCAATCCATTAAATCGGCGTTCCACAGTCTCTTAGTAAGTTTGAAAGAAAATGTTCAGCCTTTGATGTAGGACACGACAGACAAAATAAACATATCGCGCTGACTATTTACATTCACGGACGCGCAGACTGCTTTTATCATTACCAGCCAGAATGACTGTAAAATCGTTAGCGATCATCTCGTGTTTTTTCCCTCCCTCATACACCATTCGTTTTCGAGGTCAATGTGGCACTGTGTCAAACAAATTTTTTGTTTTTAGCTCGAATGACCGTACAGCTTTTGAGCTAGAAATAAAACGCAGAATTGTATACTTCAGACTTACACGGGATATCCATTAATAGGATAATGCAATCATGCGTTTATAATTAATTTCTAAAATCGAATTACTCACGCGACCAGTTGCCAAAAGAATTGGCTTAGGTTCGTGGCAGCGCACATCCTCGTCCGTTGGTTTTGCCAAAAAGTTTCGCACCAGATTCCACATTGGATTAGACGTTGTAGTTCCTTGCTCGAAGGCGAATGATCCTGGGCCATCCGTAGTACCGGCGGCGAAACTGTAACCCATGGCTGGAAGGCATCCGTGAACCTGCACGTTCAAACAATAATATATAAAATCACCGTTGTGGTATTTAATATAGCTAAAAGATTATATGTCTCATTTTATCGTATATTTATGTGACACGTCAAATGATTATTAGTAGAATTTTTCATCTGATTAATAATTAGTTTCTAGTTTATCCATAAATACATTATGTTCTTTTATTCACATCTGTTTTCATAATATATCGATATTAAAAAATGTGGGTAAATTTTATCCCGCATGAAATGGAACTATTCTATACATGAGAGCGCAGGTTAATCGATATCTCATCTAATCTATAAATGGTAGGTCGGAAAAACGAGAACAAAACGATTGTAAAATGAAACGCTACTCAACGAGCACGCATTCACAACGTTGGAAACTAAACCATTTTTACTCCCTCCACGGCTTTCTTCTCGCAATTTTTCGTTTATTTTTTCACTGGGAAACGAGACTGCGCACTACATAATGACCTTGGTGGCATGGGCATTTGTACGCGGATAAAAAAAAAACATAAACGATCTCGAAACCGATTGAGAACATTTTTCTTTTTTTTTCCAAGAGCGAACGCGCGACTTGGCAGCTATATAGAAGCGGTTAGCGCGCGCGCGCGCGTACAATCGAGAAATTAATGAATAGAGCTCGAAAGCGACGACGAAGATTGATTTGAAAAATGGCAGAATAAAAATCAAGCCGAGACAATAACAGCGTTGTGAAAAATTGATGATTATCTTAATTATCAACGAGAGCTGGTCGCGAGAAGGAAATCGCGATTGTAAGATCTCGCACGATTGTCCGAGTTGTAGTAATAGTGCATTCTCGCCGAAGCCTACGATAAACCTGTTCTGCATAACTGTGTCAAGAGTTATTGAGATATTAATTTTTCACTCAATTGAAATTTCATTTCTAACCGACCGAACTTTTTTCAATTTTCAATGAAGCGACGAGCTGAGTATGTAAATATAATTATCAAAACTAGAATAAATTTTCTTCCTCGAAACTTTTGTAAAGTTGGTATAAGACCAGTACTGTTTGCTGTGATTAATGATTTGTCCTACATCCTGAACATAAATAGGTAATTTACAAAATAGAAAAGCAGTGACACAACAGACTCGAGCTACAATAATTTCCAAATGCAGACGAATTTCCGGCTGCAATGCCATTTTTTTTTACAGAACAAACATTACATAGACGCAAGCACGTCTAGGATTCGTCGATCATTCTTCTGTCGTACTTGCAATCTAGAAATAGCTCCAACGTGAAAACCTTATTAAAAAAAATAATGGAAAAATTTTTCATTTGTTCTGACGCATAGTAAGTTATTAACGTGTATTGACAGTTATAAAAACTTGACTTGAACTACATAGGCCGTTTGTACGGATGAGATTCGAACGTTCAAAGATGTCTTTGAAAATGAACTATTAATATTTATTGATCAATAAAATGAATTAGTTAAAGCACTCATTTATTTCGACCATAATGATCATAAATATTCGTTAAAGATACATTAGTTCATTAACGAAATCGTTACAATTCGCGTGTACTGAAATATGGCGCAATCCTCATTTTGAAAGTACCTCACATCTCGAGCACGAAAGTAACTTAACTTCTCTATGATATTTCAAAGTTTCTTTCCTAAAACAAAACAAAAGGTCAAATTCAGTAGTTGGTATTAGAGCCACGCGTACGTTGGGCTATTAGTGATAAACCCTGTTTGACTGAGATCGCCGGTGCTTAAAATACACTTGCACGAGGAAAAATGTGGGAAGTCCAACGAAGTAAGATGATACGTCTATAGATGTATTACGTATAAGTATGTGTGCCAGAAAATCTCGAGCAAGATCTGCTATGCAGGCCTGTGTAAGTCAGTATCATCGCGCGCGGAGGAGGTAAAAAAACAATCGATAACGCGCGCGCAGCTTTTTTTCGCCACCGCGAAATCTGATGTAGCGCGAGCGGTGGCTTTTTCACTCCTAATCTGATTCTCAACAATAGCCGGAATCTTAAAAGTTGACCTTGCCCCTATCTTGGCTCTGTTTTTTTCTTCGCGCTCCCTGGTAGCAGTGCAAGAAGAGAAATATTTCGTCAGTCCCTTGCGAACGACTGTCTATTGCACCATCTCTCGTACTTATACGTACGTGCACACACGTAATACACGTACATTCAGCGATTCGGCAGACCGACAAGACACCTACGGTTGCAGTGAATGTGCCAAGCAGAAGAGATAAAAACAATGACGATGGTGACTCGCACGCATCGCGCATGCTCATAACGAAAGCAAATTATATTTGCTGAAGAAAATTAAGCAAGCACGAGAGTGCGAGTGAACGATAAAAATTATCTCCGATAGGGGTCGTTTACCCATTCAAACTCGTAATGACTAATTACACCTACCTTTTCTATTTTTCGACTAGTAGTATTATAGAAGCTAGCCGACTGCTTTGGCATATCGACAAAACGATGGACGATTCGCACGGGTCCTTGCACCTGGTCGGTTTTGTCTCCTATCCATAGCCTCTGAAACAGAAATAAAGTAAAAAATATAATAGATGATTTTTTATTTTCCTATATGGTTCGATGCTATTTCTCATTTTATTATAAAATTTATAAAATCTCGTAGTGCAGCTTAAGAAACGTATATTTATCTGAAAAATTTTGTAATATAAAAGTAAATGGTAAGTTTCAGCTCGAGTGCTTAATAGCTGAGAATTCAAATTCATTCTCAACTAAAATTTTGTTGTATTGTTTTCAATTCCATAGAAAAAATATATTTCACTAATTAGTATTCGTAATTTGATAAAAAAAACTTTCGCATGATCGATTATAGAATTTTCATTATCTTAAAATGAATTCATGTAAGAGTATAATTTAAAATACTTTAAATCAGGATTGTACATGCCAGAGCAGTGAACTTATTGGCTCTACAGTCAAGTTAAAATTACTTTAGATGATGTAACGGTTACTGCGCGACTCTATAAACGTCGAGGTGATGTTTACGACGTCACATAATTATTACAATATTATGATTTATTCGATTGCTACTCTCGTCAGATACGCAAATATTAGCAGCAAACGCATTAAGAGCGAAAAGAATAGGGAAAATTATTTGTTGACGGCAGAGTTTTTCCCGAGCCAAATCAGAAGTGGTTCAACAACACGCCATCCCTACTGTATGTACGTTATCCTTGTACCGCGTCGACTCTGTAATTATCTACTCGATCTTTTCGCGTAGTTATCCTTCTAGTTCCGATAGTCGTCTATGCTTTTGCGCTCGCTCCGTAACTGCTGTATGATTTGTAGTTGGAACAATATTAATAACGTTCTACTCGTTTAATTCAACTTATTTTACTATTTGACGATTTTAAAATAATTTATTTGGACAAGTTGTTCTTTTGCACCAGTTGGTGACTATACTTGTTTATAATCATATGGCAAAGGGCACATGTTGCACGCATGATCCGAAAACATAAACTGAGCAAGCACTAGGCTTTCAATGTATGCCACCGTCAGCTCCAATGTTGTCATTATTGTATAGAAAAAAACGCCTTTTGAGCACTTGTCGCATGAATAACTATTTTACAAAATATCTATCGGGGAAAAATTAAATAAACTTTTTCAATTAGTAAAATAAAACATGAAGAATTTAAATTATGGGCTTATCGACTTATGCTTCAAAATATGTTCCAGTTTCGTACTTGCGATGCGAATTTGTTTAAAACAAAGAATAACAGGAAACGGGATCATCCAAAGTTAGCGTATTTTGTCGGAATTATGTGAAACAAAATACAATGTACATTGTTTCAAATTGATACCAATACTGTTTAAAATATTTACACCAAAATTAATGTTAAAGTGAAGGAAGTTTTTTCCTTCACATACCATGTAGATAAATTCAAACTAATGCAAAAAGGCATTTATTTTAATTTGATTTATGTTTGGATTTTAAGATTTTTTGAAACAAAGTTTCAAATTCGAAATTTTGATTTTGAAATTTCTTCGGAATTAACTCCACACCACATGAAAGCTTTTCTTACGAATAAATTTCAAAATTCATTCATAGCCGCCAGGTGGCCTATACATAAATTGACAGTGGTTAACATGATGTTTTCATATATAAGTCCCCGCTTCTTAGCTCAAAATATTTTAAACTTTGTCTGTTGCAAATGATTTGAAGCAGAATAGCCTCATTGCAAGATGGAATTATTAGCTCAAAGATAATTGCTTTATGACCAATTATTGTCAGTGTGCAATGTTTTTCCTATTTCCTGCGACCTATACACCAAAGGTAAACATTAGGCTTCTTTGAATATCGATGGAATTTTTAAAGAGCTAAAAAAGTGATTGGCATTGTATTGTATACTGACGCAACTCGAGTTGCTTCGACTCCTGCTCTGTATAATAAACACAAATCGGGATCAGAATGCTTAAGTGGATGGTAGAAAACTGATATTTAGACTGTCAAGCCCGCGCCAAACAAGAGCGCGGAGCTCTCCCATGAATATAGCTCAATTCTGTTGGCGTTTTTTTTAAGCTCAGCTAATTTCGTAACTCTGTGCTATGCGCGCACAAATCGAACGTTAGGAGAATGAACGACTTTCATCCGAGATTTATACATTTAGCTTCTCCGACTAGTATTCCTATTCGTACATTCTAAACAAATGCAAGGTGTTGCTCCTTTATTTTTGCCATCAGTATACTTTTTCAGTTTAAATGATATGCGTTTACGCAGGATGACCTATTTATAAGCTTGACATCAATGCGGAGTTGAGAAATTCCTTTTAATACCTAGCGACTTCAAATTTAAATCAAAAGTAAGACAGGTATCATTGAATTTAATTGAATTATTTCAATCGATTCGCTGTGACACTTTTACATTCTTAAGTAAATTAACCCAAAATGGATCAGAGTTACTCAAGAGTTAAATTTAAAACAAAAAGTTCGTTGAGGTAGATATTGCAAAAGTAGTGATTGATTCTATTTTTTTATGTATTTAATTCGATTGAAAACCTTACTTATAATTAGTTTTAATTCAATTAGATTCTTATTGATTTATGCTAAATTCAATACGTATGAAAAAATCTGGTATAAATTTGAGTTGAAGCGTAATCTTCTGCAGTCCAGTATCTTATACTGCATTAATGGCAAAAATTTTGCTGTATGAAAGTTACAGCTCGAGCGAGAGAAATTCTATTTGTAAAAATACAGTCCCCATTATTATGCTGAATAAGAATAAAACTTTTCATACTCTTCTTTATCTTGCACTCGTTCAAATGGGAGTTTGTTACAATGCGAGGGGGATACGAAGTAAGCAGGCTCGCATTAATGCCCTGAGAGGCGATAAGTAATGAAATTCTCGCATATATTCAACCCACATATACAGTAGCAAAAACCTTAACCTACTTCCATATCCATAAATACTTTATCATATCCGTATTTGAAGCAAATTGCCAGTGCGGGGAAGCTCGTGGCAAAACCCCCGCGCGAAGAATAGGGACTAGCAGTACAATCGCGAGAAAAATAATCGGTTCACACGCTTAATTAATCTTTCTAAATAACGATCTAAATATCGATCTCGCGCGGCCGTATACTTAGCGATCTGGCTTGATAAAAAATTCAATGGAGAACAACGGGTTGCGAAAAGAATAAAAAAAAGCCATTGATATCGAGCCTCTCTTTCTGTTGTTACACGAGAGTTCTCTCGTGTAAATTGGCTTGAAGGGTTGTTGTTGTCTTTGCCGAACTCAGCGGCATTGCATACAATATTTCAGCGATTGCGGATACGAGCGCGCTAATACCCGTATATTATAGAGTAACCATATGCTATACGATTTCCATGCCCACGTTCACAGCTCCCAGCGTCGACTTCTTTACCGCCTTCACAGGCCATTCGGTCACGAAAGCGAAAGAGAAAAAAGAAGTGAGAAAACAGCTCGTAAAAAATCTTGTCTCGCACATGTATAGGTGTAGACCTACATTTTTCGTAACTCGCAAAACTTCATTTATGCGTGTGTAATCACAAATGCCTCTCCCGCGCGCTTTTTCCTATTCTTCTTCGCGTACAAGAATTATATGTATCTCAAGCTCGAAAGAGTGATACGCGCGGTTACGTTGAATTTTCGCGATACTTTAAAGGTGTCCTGCGTGCACGCGTAGAGTTGCGAAACCGTTATGATCGAATTGTAATTTTTTTCCCCTTTATTTTACGCGAGAGGATGCATAAATCTTTGTCGAGATGGAGCAAAGGGGGAGACTACCGTTTACGTGTCTCGCAAGCAATATGAGTAGTAAAAGAAAATTGTGCGTTGAGGAAAAAACGAGACCTATTCATGGTTTTCGCATGTGTATTTATTTTTGTTTTGTATGAAATTTAACTTTTTTTTAAAGTAACGTAAATTGATTTGAAATTTGAAAAATACTTTTTTATTTACCACCATTGATAGTAAAAAGCTCATGTTTTGAAAATAATTTCCCATACACACATGTATTTTAGTACATAAGGAAGGATAAACGATCGAGCAGGCTACATTTCCATTTCCTTAACTTTTGTCGGTGCATGCATTGTTTGCACTGTATTCTATACAGATTCAAAAGGGCACGTGAAAAATATACACAGAAAACGCTAATCCTCAAAGCTCTCCTCACATCTTCTGATTATTTCTGCAACTCGTACATGTCTGCGTGTTCAACATTACAAATGAAAATAATGCAAGACAAGAGATCGGTCTCATCTTGGAGTTCGCACACTTCAATGGATGTGTGCATACACGTACTTTTATCACGTGAGCATATCCAGAGCCGCGAAAACGTGCGGAGAAGACGCTCACGACGTTGATAAGCAATTTTTATGTACGATATATAAATACAGCTTCTCGCATCTTACACATTGCATTTGTTCTTTACTTGTCGAAGATTATTGTTATTGTTATTCGAGATGCGAGTCAGGTTATAAATATTCACAGTAGCATTATCCGTATGGTATTAACAGTTTCTAACAATTGTTATAATAACGATTGCCTGGCACGAACGCTTTTGCGAAGCTGCTTCCATAAAAGACCCTGCTGCTCTCTATAGATGATCGTTTATTGATTGGCTCTTTATACTTCGCACGCGCGTCAGCTCGTCCGTACAAAGCGTCTCTCGATTTTTTTCCCTCCCGATTGTTTTTTTTACGATACGATAATTCTTGCGCGATTCTCGTAAAGATGGATTTCGCATTTCAATATGTACAAAATCGAGAGACAATGTATATTTCATTTTATGAGTTATTATTTCCAACGATAAAACGAGAATATAATAACGGTTGTTTCCATCTTGTGCACTCGCGTTACAATGTTATTTCATTACCCGAGACATTTTTCGTTCAGCTATTTATGTATAAAAGTACACGAGAACATTCGATTAAACGGAGCTTTAAACATAGTCCTAATCGGGTTACAATCGGGCGATATATAAGGCGACGAAATCGTGCACAAAAAAATTTAAAGCACAACATATAAGGAAGCAGAGCTTTGTGAATT